GGTCCCATCCATTTTAGGGGAAAGTTGGGCTGCTCCAGGAAGGAAGCACTTAGGTTTGGGAACTATTGATCTAGTCTGGGATGCAGCTGTTTTCCAGAACTTTCTCAACCTCAGCACTATTGACATTTCAGGCAGGATATTTCTTTGTGGTGGGGGGTCTCCTGTGTACTATAGAATGTTTGTCACCCTCTGCTTTGGCCTCTACCCTTAGATGCCAGAGAAACACTTTCCTCCCTAGTAATAATAACCACCAGTGTCTCCAGACACTGTCAAATATCTGCTTTGTCTGTGGAGGTGGTGGCTAGGGGCACAAATTGACCCCCTCCTCCAACCAGATTGGAGAACCACTGATCTGGAGCCTCATTTTCCTCACTGCCTAGATTTATTTATAGCCATCAAACAATTTGACATGATTTGACATTTTTCATTTTTGCGATGAAAAATTCTCTACGAGAAAAGGAATGAATATAATAAAATAAAATTTAGAATGCCTGCAAGGCAGTAACTTTCAAAGTCTTTGACCCCACCTCTGGTAAAAAAAAAAATCCACATCTTATTCCTTGATTCTTTATGTATATTTTTTTGGTATCATGAAGTGCAATTAGGCTTAATTAGTTTTGACAGAGTGTTTAGATAGACACAATATTACACATAACCATTTCTTACATTTACATATCACTTTTTCACTTAAGATTCTTATTCCATTGACTCATTTGCATCTTTAGTGTGTGACTCCAAGTTAATCTCAGGGACAGTGAAGCACAGGCCAACCATCTGACATGATAGGGAATTAACGTGCCATCTGACAACCATCTGAGAAGTCAGGGAATTAACTTGCCCCCCTGTCTGCTTTACAATGCCCTCATTATTTTAGTATATATTTATATATCATAAATATGTATTGTGTACATATTTATTTTATTTTCACTTTTAATTTTTTCTGAGATGGAGTTTCACTTTGTCACCCTTTGTAGAGTGCTGTGGTGTCATAGCAACCTCAAACTCTTAGGTTCAAGTGATCCTCTTTCCTCAGCCTCCCAAGTAGCTGAGACTACAGGCAAAATGCTCAGCTATTTTTAGAGACAGGGTCTTGCTTTTGCTCAGGCTGGTCTTGAACTCCTGAGCTCACACAATCTGCCTGCCTCAGCCTCCCAGAGTGCTGTGATTACAGGCCTGAGTCACCATGCCTGGCCCTATATTCCCTATATTTTATATATTTAGTAAATAAATTTTACATTTTCTTTTGCATTATATTTTACTATATTTACATAGTATGTCTTATACATTTTATAATTTTTAAACATATATATTTCTCTCTGCTAGGCTGGCAACCTCTTGGAAGTAGGAGCAGATGTTTTGGAGCTGTGAATCTCTCAGAGCCTGGCAGGCTGAGGGCACACCATCTGTGGGCAGATGACAGGCATGAGGAATTGCCAATTACATTAGCACATACACACAAAAAAGAACAAAAAAACTGCATTAGCTCAGTTTCCCAGAGAAACACCTTCATTACTGATTCGTGTTGTTAATGCTAGGCTTTGGCTGCTTTCTAAGGTTGCTATAAGAAAAGGAACGTGTCTGCATCTTTTGTATGAATCTAGTGATAATAGACCTTCAAATATATGATAGAATAATCAGGATTATGCTGACTTTAATGGACCCTAAATATTTTTCCCTGTATGAGCCCCTTCCTCCATTAAAAAAACAGTTAAAAATGATCATTTATGATTGACAGTATAAAGACAGGTATAATGAAAACTAGATTATGTATACAGTAGAACCTCTGTAAGTTGACCAGCCAAGGGATTGAAGCAAACTGGTCAACATACAGAGGTGATCAACGTAAGGAACTAGGCCTGCTGTATTGATACGTACTTGTAGTGCAGGTCTGGCCTATGAAAATTAGATCAACTAAAGGTAAGGTGACCTGATTTTAACATTGGTAAAGCGGGACACCATTGACCGGGGGTGGGGAGGTGGAGGAGTCTTAATTAAAAATTTGGTCTATATGGAGCAACAAAAATTTTCATAGAACACAAAAATAGTATTGTAATATATATTTTTTATTTCAATGTGAGTACAATTTACAAATATAATACATAAAAAGATTATGTATAGTATTTTATTCTTTGGCATATTTCTTGTCGAATTCTAACAACTGATCCACAATGAGAACTTTGATAAGCAGTTCTCAACAATCAGTTCTCAACAGTTATTATTATTAAAGTTTAACATTATAAAATTAACAAAAATAATATAAAACTCATATCCTGGCGAAATAGCCACATGGCAGCCGAAAACCGTATACTCCCTTCCCGTTCTCCCACTGTTCCCTAGCTTGTCACGCATTCTTTCCAAAAATCAGGACTTTTTAAAAATGCTGTGGGATGTGGGACAAATTGTTAAAAATTGGGACTGTCCCACAAAAAGCAGGATGTCTGGTCACCTTAACTAAAGGAGGTGGTCAGTGTAGGGAGGTGGTCAACTATGGAGGTTCTATTGAGATTTTTTCTGATTTAAAAATAATTAAAATATTCTGTAGACATCTGACGGTATTGTGGCCTCTTCATTGTCTAATAAAGAGACGCTGGGGAGCTAATACATGGAAATATTTACTGATACTTTCCCCCTTCGTTTGTAGCTCATAGGGAGGTACTGTGGTTTATTGTCTCTGGGAAGAACGACCCAGCAGGCCACAAAAGGACCAATTTCATTGATTTGGAGTTCAAAAATTTGGATCTTAGCATGAGCCCTATAGATTTGGAAGAATAGATGAAGAGCCAGGCCACCCTGGCCCATTCTAAAGGAAGAATTCATGGACAGAGAAAAGATAAGAGCAGAGGAGAAGCTGAGAGTATTAGGGTCTATCTGGGATCCTGAATTTGAATTAAGGTTTTGGAAATACTGGAGTCAATGCTTCTTCCCTTCCCTCTCATTCCCAGTGTAATGTCCATAGAACTGTTGAAGGGTGGGCTGCTTCCTGTGTCCCCAAATCCAGTGTGCTGGGGGGTTGAAACACTTTTTGCTTGGTGAGTCAGGCAAGTAACCCAGGGATAATGTCCAAGTTTCCAGGAACCTTGGCTGGAAACAGACCTGGGAAGGTATTTTGTGGGCTACAGAGTGACACCCTTATGGCAGAATGTTCGTCTACCTGGGAGTTCATGTGGCAAGCAGGAGGATAGAGACCTGCATGAATCCACAGTGGAAGACTGCAGGGCAATGAGGATATTTTCACAGATACGATAAACAACACAGGTGGATTCTTGGCATATGGTACCATGTGAATCCCTGAGAGCTAGAGGAAATCCACAATTGACCAAGAGTCAGGCTTTTCCATCTGGAAAAATGAGAGTTTGGAAGAGAAATTAAGTTCAATTATGGAAAAATAAAGTTATCATTGTTCTATGCCAGATTTTGAAGCCCAAGTAGGATTTGCTACACATAGATATTTATGGTGCTTTGTATTATAGCATACGAAAGATCACCTGCTTGTACTTTTTTCATTTTAATTATAATTAAAATCTTAAAGATTGCTATTATTTCCATTGTTGTTTTATACATGTGAAAATGGAAGCAAAGAAAGGTCAAGTGACTTGCTCAAGTTCACACAGCCAGGACGTGGCTGAGCAATGCCTCACACTCAGGGCTGTATTCACACCACCACTCCCGGTTCCTGATGTTGTCCAATATTCCCCCTGAGGACTTCAGTGAGAGCTTCCTGTCAGGCTCCCATAACACCCTTGTAGGTTACCAAAAAGCGCTTAGTGTTTTACAACTTGATGCTCACAGTGAGGGGGAAAGAGGGCCTGTGTGTGTGCAAAGCGCTGCCTGCTACCTGCCCCCTGCCCCGGGCTCCCCTGCTGCCAGGTGCTGCTACAGAGCTTTGTTCTCCCACTTAGAGATGGGCAGACAGGTGTGTTCTAGAAATGCAGGGTAGAGGCTGAGGCCCCACTGGGGTCAGGGGTCATGTCTTGAAGGGCCTCATGGCGTGGATGCTGGCTCCTTACCAGGTTAAGGAAAGCCATCCTGCTTCCACAGCCTGGCACACACACTTACCTCACTGTATGTTTTTCTTACTTGTCTGCCTCTCTGTCTGGCCTGTAAGCAACTGAGGGAGTGTATCAGACCTGCTCCCTGTTGCATCCCCTGCACCCAGCAGGATGCCTGGCATGTTGTAGGTACTTAAAATATTTGCTGAATGAACAAACAGATGGATAGATGAATTCTTGGGTACTTTAAGTTTCCGTTAAACAATCCTAGCCCTGTATCCTCAAAGCAAGGCCCCCTCTAAGAGGTGCTTGGCCTCAGCTTCCTTTATTTCACTCCAAAAAGCTCTACAAAAAGCAGCTACCTCTGTTGCCAGCCTCTTCACCTCCTTTTTCCTCCTCTGTCCTCAGATCTCTCCTTGCTTATTATTCCTACCCACCCTCTTAGTCAAGATGCTTGGAATATTTTTTTCTCTTCCATTTATGTTTTTTAGAATTGTTTTTTTCTAGCTTATTTTTAACTGTCAGCTTCTTTTATTCCCTCTTTAGAAGCAGAAGGCACAGGTTATAAATCAATATGAGCCAATATATTGCTGCCTCATTTTTTAAAAAATTGTAATTAAAATTCATGGTAGAAGAAATTTCTCAAGTGGCAACTTGCCTTTCTAAGATAGTACCATGCCTCATTTTAGAATTTACTATCGGTAACTGATCTCCATTACTTAATAAGATTCAGTTCATTGGAATCCCTGAGTAATTACTGCATTGGGTAAGTATTGTTTTTGTGATATCATTAGTTTTTTAAACATGTACTAAATTGCTTTTAGGAAATAGCCTAAGAATTACTCAAAAAGAGATGGGAAAGACTTTATGTGTCACAAATTCAGTAAATCAATAATTAAAATAATGCTACAAATGCAATAAATTTTCATCAGGTAATTAAAAAAAATTTCAATGCAACACATGACAATTAAGCTTTATTTCTTAATGGACTCTTATTTTTTTTTCCTTAAGGCACCATGATCGAGAAGCTTATCCCAAAGATTATGACATAGAGGGTCCTGAGAAAGTAAAAAAACTGTGCAACTCCACCTATTGGCGACTTGGAACAGATGAACCCCCAGTAAGTAGTTGTTGTTAATTTCTTTGGTTTAAGTCTGGAGTCTTTGTCACAGTGAGATGTGAAAAACTAAAGGGAGGAGCATTTTCTCAGCACCACCACTCCTTAACCATGCTAGTTACTTAGGCAGGTGACTTAGCCACAATGTGTGTGCGTTGGCAGTATTACCTACAAGATGTATCTTCTGTGCAAGTTATTGGGGAATTTAAATGAGATAGCAAGTAAAGCCCTGGGCACAGGGCCTAGCACCGTCCCAGTTCTTAGGAAATTATAACTATTGTCACAATGCTGTTGTAGCTGCTGCAGCTGCATCTTGCTAGATGGCTCCTTCACCACCCCCATAATCCCGTGATATAGGTGTTATTATCTCTATTTTATAGAAGAGAGGAAAGAAGACTTCTAGAGGTTAAGTCACACAGCTAAGGGAGTGGAAGAGTGGGAGTTTGAACCTAGGTCTTTGATTTCAAGTCTTGCGTACTTGTCTTAATGTAGTAGAGTTGTAAATAATTAAGATTTACTATTGATAGTCTTATAATGTTTGTACAACCCAGTTATAAAAAGAATATTCAGTGCATAAGTAATTCCTGTTTATAAGTTAGTTATTAAATAAGTTCTTTCATGGCTTCTTGGGTGTCTGGCCAATCAGCATCAGGCAGGAGCTCAACACCTGAAAGACTCCTACATTGTGTCTTCCAACCCCAGAAGTTTTGAAGCTAGCCGAAGACCCTTAGAGGGTGTCCTCGGGGCCTGAAGAGCTGGTGATTTGACAAGGAGGGATGTGCATGTGATGAGAAGACTGTGTCGGGCCAGTTTCAAAACAGATTTTCCAATAGGGAAGGCCTAAGAAGATCCCTAATTCTACACGGAAATTTTTCTAGAGGATTTTCCATTCTTCAAGGTGCTAAAAACCAATGAGCTTTACATGGCCGTGCCATTTCCTTCCTTCTTTCCTTCTAGACAATGGACAGGAAGTAATGAGGATAGCCTAAAAATTGGAGATTTATTTTGAAGTTACAGCTGCCTGGAGCTGGAATCAGGAAGCTTACGGCAAGCTTGTCAGCTCTAAAGCAGGACGTTGCTCTCCACGCCCTACTTCCTTTGTCCCACACACTCTCACAGTCTCTGGGCATCGCTACTTCTCTCTGCTCAGGTTTTCCTTTTGCGCCCAGATCCAGTTCTCAGGGACAACTGATGGTGTCCTCAGTCTCTACCTGACCCTCTTATCCTTTGTACCAGGAGGTCTCATTGGTCATCAACCAACAAATGGATGGGATCGTAGGGAAGAAAACATTATTTTCTTTCTCTATTTAGATTCTCTGTTGAGACACTTTCCTTGGGGAAAAAAAGTCAAATTAACACAAGGAAAATAAGCAGAAGCTTACTGGCGTGTGCTGTACACATCACGCGGGGAGGCCTCCATTTAAAAGTGTTTCTCTCCCAAGGCAGTGGCTTAGGGGCCTTGCTTAAGTAGTATTTTAACAAAAAGCCATAAATCCTACACATGTATAATGACAAGACAAAGGAGAGAACAGTCTAGTCTTTTAAAAGGCGGGGAAATGTTGGAGGATAGAAAACGCTGTTCCCAGATTCCTCTGGTGCCTGCTGGGCGGATAAGCAAGTGCTGTCTCCGGTCTGGAAGGATTTATGTCCTGCTGTCAGGCAAAGAGAGGCGGAGGCCATGTTCCCTCGCATTCCCAGTGTCTTTAATTTAACCATCCTCGAGACTGTGAGGAAAAATATTTTGGTTTCCTTCAGGGCTCAGGAGGCTGATGCCCAACTCGGTCAGTGGTTGCCTTGCCCTGCTTCCCCTAAACCCCGCATACCCTTGCTCCCTTGAGCATGGAGCTGTGGTCAGGACAAGAGGAAGGTGGAAAAGGCAGGCATTGCCTGTCATGCACTGAGAATCTTCTGGCCTTAAAAAGCATTTACTTTTGATTCTTAGGTAAAAATGCTCTTGGGTTTCTGGGTTGTGGGAGGAAGTGAGATAAAGAGAAATAGGAGGTGTAGGAACCAGAAACATTCCTTCCTCAACATTCTATGCGTTACTTAGTCAAGCCTCAGCTTTAACAAATGAGTATAAAGAGGAACATTTACCTTTTCTGTGTCTTTTTGTGGATGGCCATTGAAACCCTGCCGTTCCCTTACAAGGTCTAGGGTTGGACAAAACAGAAAACAGAGTGAGAAGTCCCTATTTCTGATGAAACTGCTATTCTCATAGTTCAATAAGTTCCATTTTTCTCAATAGATTTTTTTTGTGTGTGTATAAAGCACTGGCCCATCCATCTTGTTTCTTGTTCTTTATATCAAAGCCATAAAGTTGGCAAGAAAGATATTATTCTAGTTCTAAACCCAGACTTGCAGACGTCAAATGCCCCACCCAAGGTCCCAAGTGATAAGGAGGAGAGGACAGGTGCACAGAATCCATACTGGCATATGCCAGGTGTTATCTAGGTGTGACAGGAGGATAGTCGAGTCCCTCTTCCTGTCGTCACAGAGTTGTGGTGGCAGCCCAAAGACTGGAACCTTCTCAATAGTTGGCAGGAACCATACATTCGAATGTAAGAGACTGGGCCACCTACGCAGGATCTGCTACGAGTCCCTACAATAGGTTAAACCAGCATGAGTGTCATGCCGTTATAGATGAGGGGCTGAAGAGCTGGAAGGGGATGGATAGTTGCGTGATATGTGCCCTTACTTCCCCTTGAGAGGAGTTTCAAGGGAACACACAGAGAGATTAATAAGTGTGTCCTGGAATTTAGAACACACAGGGTCCAGGTATATGGGTCATGCCTGAGAACCTACTTGTGAGAGGTCAGGCCTGATATTACAGAGCAGAAAGAGAAAGGGAGCAAGGCGCCCTTGGAACAGGGATGGCAGTGGCCACAGTGAGCGTGTGAGTTTTCTCATGGGATCCACTAGGAGAATCTGCCAGAGCCCTCTTGAAAAAGCCTGCCTGGGGGTGGAGTAGGGGTGGTGGTAGTGTAAGGAGGCCCTGCACATCAGACCCATCCCATACCCAGAGCTCAGGGAAAGAGGGGTACTAGCTGCCAGGATGCAGAGAAACTTTGCCTGCTTCCCACATACTGCAGCTGGAGGGCCTCAGAGAAGTCCCCAGAACAACTACAGAAGTGCCCTAGGTGAGGAGGAGCCCGTTTGGGGTGTCCTCCCAATCCAGGAGCACCAGAGTAGGTCAAGAGGTAAGGATTACTTGCCACTATGCCTATCACCTGCTTTCTCCCTCTGGGCTGGACTGGGAGGGGCCCATGACCAGCAGTGAGAGGCGGGGAAGGGTGGCAGTTCAGCAGGTCTCCACTGGCAGAGGCTTCCAGGCGCAACATAGGCAAGAAGCCCACATCTGATACAGTTACAGGTTTTGGTTATTCTGCTGAACTAGAAACTTCATAACTAAAAGGAGATCCTTTTGAGATTGAGGAGTCCAGAGAAGCTATGAGACTTGCCTAAGATTTTCCCCTAACAGAAGGACAGCACTATCTGTTTGTGTGGGAGGGAAGGGACGGTTGGAGTAGACTGCTCCCCCATTTCATCCTACTGATGCAGTAGGATCGTGTCACTGAGACAGTTACCGTAAAGGTGCTTCATTTCACCCTCTGGACAATTCTTCAGGCAGATGCCATAAATGACCCACAGCATATAGATGAGGAAACTTACCCACTGGCACAGTCAAACAGCTAGAAAGTTCATTAAAAATTAAAAACCAGGCTGGGCCCAGTAGCTCACTCCTATAATCCTAGCACTCTGGGAGGCCAAGGCAGGTGGATTGCCTGAGCTCAGGAGTTGGAGACCAGCCTGAGCAAGAGTGAGACCCCGTCTCTACTAAAAATGGAAAAATTAGCTGGGCATTGTGGCAAATGCCTGTAGTCCCAGCTACTTGGGAGGGTGAAGCAAGAGGATCACTTGAGCCTAACACTTTGAGGTTGCTGTCAGCTGTGATACCACAGCACTTTAGCCTTGGGTAACAGAGTAAGGCTCTGTCTCAAAAAAGAAAAATCAAAATCTGTCCTACTTCTGTGGCTCTAAAGTCTAAGATCTTTTTTTTTTTTTTTTGAGACAGAGTCTCGTGTTGCTCTCAGAAGAGTGCTGTGGCATCAGCTCACAGCAACCTCAAACTCTTGGGCTTAAGAGAGTCTTTTGTCTCAGCCTCCCAAGTAGCTGGGACTATAGGCACCCTCCACAACACCCAGCTATTTTTTTGTTGCAGTTGTCGTTGTTGTTTAGCAGGCTCAGGCCAGGTTCAAACCCTCCAGCCTCGATGTATGTGGCCGGCACCCTGACCACTGAGCTACGGGCGCTGAACCTAAAGTCTAAGATCTTATAAACTTTTCCAAACTGCCTGTTGGAGTGCCAGACTGAGGCACTTCTTATTCAATGGCCCCTGTACCTCCTTAAAACTGCATCCTCCTTGCAGAAAATAAACCTGATTATTTTTTGCTCTGGCTTGAGTATTGTATATATCTCACGGCATATGTGTTGAGGCTTTGATTTCTTACATCTGAGCTGTAACTTCTGTCCTGTTTCCTGAATCATGTCCACACACACCCTGGCTAGCCCATCTGTTTTCCCTCTTGAATGCCTTCTTAGCATTTTGTTTTTTTGCAAGACTGTCGCTGGGTGGTTGCTTCTTACATCCACTCACATTTTCAGTAGTTGATTGAAGATCTCCTCGCCCTTAAATGCTGCTGCTGGGACTAATGTGAGCATCGTTTATTTGTAACAGGATCTGAAATGGGCTTCTTTTTGCCTACATTTTGGCTAAGGCTTCAAAAGTCGAAGAAAGTAGCAGCCTCATGTGCCAGAGTGAAGAATGAGGCCACTTACGGGAGAGCCTCAAATATGATGGCGCTATTAGTCTCCCACTCACACGGAGGATAGAAGGGGATTGAAATGCAAAAACCAAAAAAGGAGGTTGACAGTAGAGAGAGGGTTTTGGAAATGGCAATGGTGTGCTGTAAGTCTCATCTGCATAGTGCCTGGCGAGGTTACAG